ATAGGGGAATGAGCAGGGCAGGGGGCATGGAGTATGGAGCTGGAGGGAGGGGTCAGAACATTCCAGAAAAGATGTGTTCATCAACCCAGAACCACTCGGACTTGCCCATCTTTGGGAATTGTATGGAGCCTTCAGCCTGCAGGCTTGACTGCTGAAGTGTGTGCAGTTTTATCACACAGCCCAAGCAGAAGCTTGAGAACGCAGAGAAAAAGATGATGAATAGAAGCCTGAGGAGGCCACGAAGCATCCAGAAATGGTACACCAGAGACTAAAGTATATCCGAAGGAAACCTGGTACCCAACCACCCACTGATAAAGGCAGCTCAGGAGCCCATGGGCCGTGAAGCTAAGGCAGCACTAGGACGCCAAGGCTCGGGAAGTTGGTGGGGATTTCCAGCCCAAAGCTCTCCCTCGCAGAGGTACGCAGGCCAGCAGACTCCTCTCCGCTGAAAGTCTGTGACAAGACGCTTCCATCTGTAAAATTTGCTCTCTGAGGTCAGAAACCAAAAAGACCTCACCTAGACAGTTTTTAATTTTAGGACACAGCTGCTGGAGTTAAAAGCATAAAGACTGTAAGCCAGTGCAGCGCTGTGTTCTTTGCAAAAGCTCGCCACCTCTATACTGTGGCAAAACCAAGCCCAGGAAACCTACTCTTAAGAAACGGTCATGATTCTGACTGATGCTTGAAAGAGGCTGCCACGTTCTGCAGTGAGGAGCCTTGTAAATTCCCTGTCAGTTCTGGGGTGATTTTGCTCATTGTGGTTATGGGCTAAGCTCTGGGTGTCATCTCGATGAAGCCCGAGATGCACCTTGGGAGAGTCAGAAAGAAAAAGACACATGCAGGCGTTTTGCCCTCGGAGAGCTTCCTTTCCGCGTCTACAGCGGAGGTACTGACAGAACATGAGTCAAACAAGCCTGAGACTCCATGCTATGACTGAGAAGTCAGAGGGGAAGAGAATTCACATTTCCTCTTCTGTCTTCTGAGAAGGCTTTTTTTTCTGGGTAAGGTGGCCACTGTTGAGACAAGTTGTTATATAGCCTAGGTAGAGGATGCAGAGAACAACGCTGAGGGAGGTGCTCAGGCCTCTTAATGCTAACGAGAAAAATGAGACCCAGAAGCTACAAGACCAGGATTCTTCCATCTGGGATGAGATTTCACAAGGATGCAGAAGTGGCATGGATGACGTAAAATTCCTAGCAAAATCTAGGAAAGACAAGTTTAATTGGGCATTTCAAGAATTAGCCTAGGCACTTGGCCTCTCTTCCAGGGAGCTTGGCGAAGCTCTCACAGAGGTCCCAGATAGAGCTAGCCTCTTCAAGGCCTAAAGTGATACTGACCCCACCTTGTCTTGGCAACAAGCAAATTTTTCTTTTCAAATACAGGATTCTCAGCCTTGGTTATAAAATATCTTTTCATCTGCTTAGCACAAGTATCACCTGGAAAGAAGTCATGTCAGCTTCAAATATTAAGAGCTTTTACCTAAAATGTCAGTTGGCTCAGCACCTGGTTTCCCTGGTTCATCAAGAGCCTGGTGTTTCCAGCTCACTAGATTTGTTGCCTCTAGGGCACCTCCTTCCTCTGGCTGCGTGCAAAGGGGTTGGGGTCACTGGAATATTAATCACTCAGCCTACTGCTCTGTAGAGCTGAGACTTTTCCCCTCCAATTCCAAAAACTCGGGTTCTGTTTTGGTAGAGTGTCCCCCACTCTAACAAACCCATGGGGAATTCACATTGGTTTGTTTGGTTTGATAAAATATAGACCCATGGATGATCAGAGGCAAAGGAAGGTGCTAGAAAGACAAGGTGGAGACAATGTAAGAGATGATGTCCCAAGAGTGCTCTCGGAAGGCCTCGATGCGGTGTCTCAGCATCCCTTCACTCTGCTTTGGTCACACGGGTGCTCCTCAGCTTCCTACAGCTCTGCCCAACCCAGATCTGTCTTCCTGTTCTGTCCAGAGCAGCTGTGAAACTCCCAAGGGAGGGTTCATGCACGATGTAGTTCTGAGTGGATTGGTGAGTGGATGGTGTCTCCTCATTTGACAGTGAGAGAAACGTCTCTCCATTGGCCTCACCTTTGCACCAGGACATGCCCTTCTCTGGGATGCCACTATTAGAAAAGACAGCCTGCAGATAGACAATTGGTGGTCAGTGACTAGCAAAGCCTTGGGGAATTGCAGCAGGGGGGGTTGCCTGCCTTGTATATATTACATCCTGTGACATTCAGTTCATTCAGTCATTCAGCAAATGCCCACCAAAGGCTAGGACATGCTGAATACCGTCCTAGGTACTGAATCTCATCCTTCAAGATGAAAAACAAACCACGCATGCATAATGGTGTGCTTGTCTAATGCCTGTGTCTGTGTTTCTTCCTCTAGCTGCATACCTGCTAGACCCTGACCAGTGTATGGAAAAAGGCAGGTGAGGAGGGGCATGACGTAGAAAAGCCCTAGGTGGGCAGAGGAGATTCTTTACAACACTAGTCTACAAAATGGGTAGTCCTATTTTAGAAATGAGAATTGCTGTATCTACTGTACATTTCAGAGATGCCTATATGGGGCAGTGAGATGGCTCAGCCAGTAAAGGTACTTGCCTCCAAGCCTGGTGACTCGAGTTCAATGACTCAACACAGTGGAAGGAGAAACTTGTAAAAAAAAAATTTTGTTTTTTGCTTTTTTTTTTGTTTTTTGTTTTTGTTTAGTTTTCCAAGACAGGGTTTCTCTTTATAGCACGGGCTGTCCTGGAACTCACTCTGTAGATCAGGCTGGCCTCGAACTCAGAAATTCGCCTGCCTCTGCCTCCCAAGTGCTGGGATTAAAGGCATGCACCACCACTGCCCGGAAAAAAAAAAAAAAAAAAAAAAAGCCCAGTTTTGTGGTACCTGAATTCTTGGAGCTCTCTGATATAACTCACAGGTACCTGGGCTAACTGGGAGAGTCTCCTCTGCTGAGTAATATTTACTGCTCACATAAGGTCAGGGGAAGGGCCTTATGACTCCTGTAGGTTTCCGAAGATCTTATAAATTTTATTTACTTCTTGTGTCTTTTAATTTTTTCTTACATTTACTTACCTATATGGATGTTTTCCCCCCACATCATGTAAGTATGTACGTCACGGCTTTGCCTGTTGGCTCCTCTGGAACTAAGGTTACAGATAGTTGTGGGCCACCAATGGGTGCTGAGAATCGAACCTGCGTCCTCCCAATCTATAGAATGAGATGACCCTGCCTCAAAACAGAAACAGTGATATATTTTTAGGTAATGTATGTTATGAAATATAATATGGTAAGGGAGTTCCTGGCTGGCCCATGCGAAAGTGTCCCCTTGGGAAATTTTGTCACACAACAAACCTGGTATGGGGGGTTTCTTTGGGGGAAGGGAGGGGAGCAAGGGCCTGGAGAAGGGGTAGAGGCAGATGGATAGGCAGACAGACGGGAGCAGAGCCACGAGGGCAGAGAAAGCAGGGTACAGAGAAGGACAGAAAGGAGGGGGTGGGGGGGTTGAGGGAGAAACCAGCCGGGAACACATGAGGACAGAGAGAGCGCTCGAGTGATGAGGCAGTCTTTTTATCCACACCTGAAGCACCATAAGCCATTGCTAGGTCCCTGGGAGGAGCCTAGTGGAATCGCCTGTAAGCTAATAAGTTAATCAGAAAATTCAAAGGCCCCTTTCCTCAATAATCCTTCTAAAAACCTCTTGTGGTGGGTGTGGTCGATTCTGTGTCTGACAGACTGAGAAGAACCTGGAAGAACCACAGGGAGACGTCAGTAAGTGGCTCAACGCCCAGGCAGCGCTCTACAGTGCAGAAGCGGAAAAAGCAATCCAGGTTCGGGCTTCCGGCGCGCTTGGACGGACATGCAAATATAACTCTGAGGAACTCTGGGAGCAAAAAAGCGCAACAAAAACTTCTCGGCCTCCTTGGGATCCCTCAGGCTTTTCCTGGCGTGAAAGTGGTGGGCGCGATAGAAGAGGAGGGTGGATATCGGGCGCGCGTTTGCGGGCGCGCGCGTGCGGGTGACCGTGAGTTGAAGGTGCGTGCGGTGTTGAGTGTTGGGGGCGTGTGTGGGCCGTTCGGTATCGCTTCTCGGCCTTTTGGCTAAGATCAAGTGTAGTATCTGTTCTTATCAGTTTAATATCTGATACGTCCTCTATCCGAGGACAATATATTAAATGGATTTTTGGAAGTAGGAGTTGGAATAGGAGCTTGCTCCGTCCACTCCACGCATCGACCTGGTATTGCAGTACCTCCAGGAACGGTGCACCCCCTTTGGGGAAATAATGATGGTTAAAGGTTAGGAACCAGCTTGTCTCCAAAAACAAAACAAACAAAAAGAAAAAAAAAGAGAGAGAAAAGAAAATCGTAGGCGGAAGAGGCGGAGCCTGCGGGGTAAGATGTCGCCGCCCGTAGCACTGCGTTCGTTTTTCCGGCTGTTGGCCTCCGCCCGGCTGCCGAGCTGCTCATGTTCGGGAGCCTGTCAATGCCAAGCCTGACTGGGTGACAGTTGGGCTGTCCTTTGGCGCCTCCATTTTTTTCACGTGGATTTATCTCATCCGACAACACAATCAAGATGTTTTGGAGTACAAAAGAAGAAATGGATTGGAATAAACTTTGGAAATAATACAGTCTGCTTCATGTGATAATCATAGTTATTCCTCTGGATTCCCCTAGAGTTGTGGATATAAGGAAAAAGTTACATGTGAATATATATCAGTCAAGTCAGCACATACATTTTGCATTGTTAAATAAAAATACTTGTGCTCTTCATATGTAGAGACGGAAAAATAATCGTAGGCTAGCCTGGTCCACAGAGTGAGTTCCAGGACAGCCAGGGCTACACAGAGAAACCCTGTCTCGAAAAAACAAAAAAAACAAAAACTAAATAAATAAATAAAAATAAAAAAGAAAATCGTAGGGGTGGGGTTGGCTCCGCTCCTTTTCATCTGGTTCCGCCCACTGTTGCTAGGATTTAAATTTCGCGGTAGTTGCTTGCGCAGGCGCAGTGGTTTTACCATGGCGGAGTTGATCTCTTTCGTAGTTCCCAACCAGAGCGACAAAGTTTTGTTGGTGTGGGAGTTGAGCGCTGGTCCTCCAGCCGAGGCCTTAAGTGTGAGGGGCCGCGCGGAGGAAGGGAGGGCGGTGGGGGGAGCCGGGGGACAGGAGGCGCGGGCCCGCGCTGAGGGAGGAGCGCAGAGGACCCGGGAGCGAGAGGAGCACCCTTAGCCCCCCAGGCTCGTCTCCTCCCCGTGTTCGTGCAGGAGGAGTGCTCCCAGTGAAGGAGGGCGGGATCTGGGTTTGGCGTGGGGTAGGGGATCAGGACTCACTCGTGGGCCTCCCACAGCATTCTCTGTTCACAGTGTTCTCCCAGTTTGGCCTTCTGTATTCAGTCCGAGTCTTCCCGAACGCTGCAGTGGCCCGTCCTGGTTTCTACGCCATCATCAAGTTTTACTCCTCAAGGGACGCGCAGAGAGCCCAAAAAGCATGCGACGGAAAGCCCCTTTTTCAGACATCACCAGTGAAGGTGTGTGCAAATGCAGGATTCAGAGTAAAGTTCCGAGTTCTGCAGTGAGTAAGCTAATTTGTGTGGCTCCCTGGTTCACACAGTGCTGCTTCCAAATGCGTTTTCACTGAGCCTCTGGCCCCAGGCTTGCCTAGATGAAGAAACTCCAACTCGGGATAAAAGGTTCATGAGAGTAGCAGTGGTCAAACCCAAGTTTTCCAATGAAAATCCCATGTCACATGTTGCTTTTACATTTAAGAAATATTCATAGTCATTTTCTATTTCATTTGGACTTAAAATGCGTGCCTTTGACAAACTGCCAGTTTTAACATAATGGATACTATTTGTCATCATTATAAAACATAACTTCCTTCAGGAGGGGAAAGCATCCTTTAATACATTGTAGCCTTCATTCCATATCAAGTCGATTCCACCACTTGCCCTTTCAATTTCTTTCTTTAAGATTTTTTGTTTTTTTTTTGTTTGTTTTGTTTGTTTGTTTCGAGACAAGGTTTCTCTGTGTAGCCCTGGCTGTCCTGGAACTCACTCTGTAGACCAGGCTGGCCTCGAACTCGGAAATCCGCCTGCCTCTGCCTCCCAAGTGCTGGGATCAAAGGCGTGCGCCACTACGGCCCGGCTAAGATTATTTATATATGAGTGCACGGTAGCTGTCTTCATACTCATCAGAAGAGGACATTGGATCCCATTACAAATGGTTGTGAGCCACCATGTGGTTGCTGGGAATTGAACTCAGGAAATCTGGAAGAGCCGTCGATGCTCTTAACCACAAAGCCATCTCTCCAGCACCCCCCCCCTTCAATTTCTGGTTGGCCACTTTTGATATGCCTATTTGCTGTTGAACCTGCTGCTTATTCTTGTCCATATTGCCTTTTTCCTCCATTGAACCTTGACTGAATCTGAGAACTCGAGTCAGTAGTCATCCCAAGTATACTATCTCTAATTCCATACAGGGTTCAAGACCTTTTCTGATCTTAGATCATCCACTTCCAAGTACTGAAGTGATTTGCCTGTCAGTTATCCTTTAATGACTTTGATCAGTATGTTTCTAACCTATGGACATGTCTCAGCTGCTTAGATATTGTATGTGAAACTGGGAAGATGTCAAAGTAGTGAGCCTCCAGTGCTCTTGAGACAGATCATTTCATAAGCTTTAAGTTCTGATAGAGTGATGAAGGATATGTTAACAACCCAAGATACTGGGGCTAGAGAGATGGCTCAGTCATTAAGAGCACTGTCTGCTCTTCCAGAGGACCCAAGTTTGATTTCTAGCACCCATGTGATGGCTCACTATCAGTTCTAGTGACTACAGTTCCAAGAGATCCCACACCCTCTTCTGGCCTCCAGGCATGCACATGGTACACAGGCATACATGCAAGCAAAGCACACACACACACACGTACATAATAAATATAATATTCAATATTATTTTGAAAACAATTCGAGGTTCTGTTGGGAAGTGAGAATGGTCATATTAGGTGGATGGAGGAACTGGAGATATGAAGAGGTCTGAAGAGCCAGATCGACAGTAGTGTGCAAGTGTCATGGGATGGGGCTGAGATGAAGCCAGATTAGCATAGAAAGTAAAGATGGATCGTTTAATTGCTCAGCTAATTAAGTGCAGTTTTAAGCACAAGTTAGCCTTCTACTGGCTATGATCAGAGAAAGATGACCTTGAACTTCTGATCTTCCTGCCTCTACCTGACTGTGGGGACAACAGGAAAGTGTGTCTATGTCCTGCTTATCCTGTCCTGGGATTGAATTTAAATTTTCATGCACACTAAGCAAGCCCTTAACCCATTGTTCTGTCTCCCCCGACCCTGTCCCTTTTTTTCCTCTTTCTGGACTACAGATTCGTCTTGGCACCAGACATAAAGCACTGCGACATCAGGCCTTTGCCCTAAACAGCTCACGATGCCAGGAACTGGCAAATTACTACTTTGGCTTCAATGGATGGTCGAAAAGGATCGTCAAGGTAAACCTTGAGCATTTCCTACTTACAACACTCTCCCGTGCACATTGTAATCCTAGACTGCAGGGAGGATTTTACAGGGCTGTGGGGAGCACGTGCCGGGCCAGCTATGGTGAGGATTAGTCGATGTGTTAGACCTGGTCCAGCCTTGAGAGTTAGGAATACTCATCCCAGTTCACTGGCAGATGGAGCCCATAGTTTCTCCAGTGTTTGTGTGTTTAATAAGACGTGGCTGCCTGAAGTAGCATTCCTTTACAAATCTTGCTTCTGAAGTTGTAGGATGCTCCAGCTGTTAGCAGGTATTTGGGGGTTAGTTTTTTTTTTCTTTCTCCATTGAATTTTCAGGCGAGGCTGGGGCTGAGCAGTGGAGAGCTTGCCTAGCAGAGGCTAACCTTCAGGCTTCGTTCTCAGAGGTAAGGACATCCTAGGGCTTGAATCCAACCCCTCTCAGTTGCAGGAGCTCTCTGGACTGGAGGATGCAGCTCTTGCTGTACCCTTGCAGAAGCGGAACCCCCAGTTCTTCTGTGCTGTAGAGGTGGTGCTGCCGTCCTACGAATGCAGGAGTCCTGGAGTTGGCATCTCTGAGGAGCCTCAGCACCAGCTGGAGGAAGGTCTGTCCTTGGCTCAGGGAGGGCGGCAGGAGTGGATATGTCACAGATCTGTCTGTCTCTCTGTCTTTTCTTCCTTCTCTCCACTCTGTCAGCTACTAGCCAGGCCCTTCCATTGCTAAACTACTGAAGAATTAGGCAGAACTGTTAATGCCTTATAATACAGACTTTCACCTTTCACCTTAAGCGCATGCCTGACAAACCCTTTACATTTACAACAGAACTGCCCTCCTGCCCAGAGGCTTATGGGGAAGCCGGAAATTGGTCTCTAGTTTTTGGTCAAGGACTTTCTTTGAAATAATTGGCCACAATCCTTTATCTTTGTCTTCAATTATCTCAGGGAAACCCTGCTCTAGGACAGGAGAACCGGCTCGGTGTGTAAGCCCGTGCTTTGGTTGTAAAGGACCTGAATTCTATCTGGCTCTCAATTCAGGTGGCTGAGACACCTGTCTGTAGATCCAGCTCTGACACCTCTCTTGTGTACACAGAGGGACAGACAAACAGTCTCATCACTTATCACTATCTAAACAGTATCGTTATCTCTTGTATAAACAGACACTCCGTTGTCTGCCTGCTGATGGAATGGCTTGAGCAGATAAAAGGCCTTTGTGAAAAGGTGCTCCAGTTGATGTTGAGGGTCCTTTTCTAGATGCCATGGTCTGAGCAGGAAGGATCTAAGTCAGAGGCAAGGGTGTTTAGTGGGTGGAGTAGGCTGCCGAATCTATAATGCCCATTGTGGGTTCATCACCAGACCCTGTTCTGTGTCCAACCCTGTTCCATCACCTAGCCTTGCTCAGTGTTCCCGCCCTGAGCAGGCAGGGTCCGCTTCTGCCTGTCAATTGGGAATTGGCAGTGAGAGGAGACTTGTGTTCGTATTCTGTTTAAACTCCACCTCCACAGTTACCTGTTCCTCATTCGAATCCCATGGTTATTATAGCAGGAACTTCGGAATACACTGGGCCTATAAAATAATGGGCCCTATCATGCTGGACCTTCAGCAGGGGCTCGTAGCCGGCTCCTGGTGCTCTGGATTCCTTTAACTGCTCAAATAATGATCTAAGAATGACCCACAAATGTGCTTCCTTTTCAAACAAAGATCAGTTGTTATCTGTTTAAGTATTTACATATTTTTTTTAAATTTTTATTGATTCTTTATAAATTTTACATCATGAACCCCAATTCCACCCATCTCATACCTGACCTCCACCTTGCAACCTCTCCCCCAACAGAAAAAAAAATCTCCTTGTGGAAGCTGTAGGGTGTCACAGTGTGTCCCACAGTATCCTTTTGTCCACACCTCTTGTAAATGTTCATTGCAATGAGTCATCTGGTCTGAGGCCTCTGGCTTCTGCTACACCATCGATACTGGAACTCATTGGGACTCCTCTCAGATATCCAGTTGTTACCCAGTGTGATGGAGATCCTGCAGCTTTGGATCTGTAGGACCCGCCCCTTCACGTGCTCCAGCGGTTCATAGATGTGGGTCAGGGCCTGAGGGGCATCTGAGTCGGTCAGCCTGACAGCTCTTCTGCACCCACACCACTGGTGTGGCCAGCAAGAAGCAGAGCCAGCTAGCTTTCCTGGCCTCCGTGCTGGTTCATCCTATTCTCACCCATGCCGTTAGGGTCAGCTATCCTGTGCTTCCCAGGTAAAGTGCAGCGCCCTCCTCACCTGAGTGCTGCAGCAGCTGAGGGGCTGGGTTGGCTCTTCTACCATCATGACCCCAGGGCCAGCTCCTCCACTTGCCGTAGGTAACAAGGGGTGAGGGTGGGAGAGGGCATCTCTCCCTTGCCCACATAGCCCCATGGCAGAGAGGTTGAGGGGCCAACTCTCCCATGCTCACCCCCTCGGGACCAGTTCTCCCACAACCCTGTCACCAGGGTCAGCTCTGCCATACTGCCCAGGTGAGGTGCAGGGCCTTGTTTTTTATTTTGCATCTATGGTATATTTGTGTGTAGTATGCATAAATGTGTGCGTGTGTACACACAGTGGACGCGCCTGTTTGTGTCAGCCCAGAAGCCGGGAGAGGCTATTGGGAGTCTTCCTCTACTACTGTTTATTCATCTGAGGCAGCGTCTCTCCCTGAACCCAGCTGGAGCTCGCCTCTTTTTGGCCAGCTAGAAGATAACAGCCCCACTGTCTCAGCCCAACTCCCTGCTGGGGCTGCGGGCATGTGCAGGGTAATGCCAAGCTGTTATCCAAACTCTTGTACAGCAAACACTGAGCCCTCATCAGCGTCCGTTCGCAATCCTTCAGTCTGGTTGGACACAGGACAGTCATCGTTTCTTACAAAGAGGAAGACCGCTCAGAAGCTCGCCTTCCAGGCGGCTTTATCAGATGCCTTCCAGAAGCTGAGCATCCTGGTTCTAGGTGAGTGTTTCCTGATTGTCCTGAGTGCCTGAGTCTCAGTGAGCAGGAAATTATTTTAAAACATTAATTGTGCCAGCCGACATAGTGGCGCACGCCTTTAATCCTGGCACTGGGGAAGCAGAGGCAGGGGAATCCCTGAGTTTAATTCCAGCCATGGTCTTCAGAGTGGGTTCGAGGACAGTCAGGATGTCACAGAGAAACCCTGTCTCAAAAAAAAAAAAAAAAAAAAAAGACATATCATCTCTCTCTTGCTTCTCATCCAGTGTTCTCTGTTCCTGGTTTGGATTCGCTCTGCCTGACATTTACACCTTGGTCTTCAGCCATTTGAACATTTTTTAAAAGATATCCAAGTTCTTGTTATCACCTTAGTCCTGCCTCTAAGATACCAAAATTGTCTGAACCAAACATATTTGCTATCTCATACTTTTTTTTTTTTTTGAGGTATGGCCCTGTAGCTCACTATGTAGACCAGTCTGGCCTTGAACTCACAGAGACCCTCCTGCTTGTGTCTTCTGGGTGCATCACCATGCCTGACCTTGCTCATGCATTCTTTAAGCAGACGGTTCTATTAATAATGGCAGTGTGGCATGCAACATTTCTAGAACTATCCCTTAGCTTTTAGAAACAGTATGGGCTCATTGGGTGTGAGCGTTGGACATGGGAAGTTTGAGAATGTGAACAACTCTGAGCTTTTCCTCTTTCCCTCAGAAAGTGGCAAGATCGCAGTGGAGTACAGACCCACAGAAGAGGATCTAGATGCCGGAAGTGAAGAAGAACTGCAGAATTTAATCCAGGTACATGGTGACCAAAGCCTGAGGTGTCCGTAGCTGAGGTACCTGAGACCAAAGCAGCCAGCAGGTTCTGGAAGACTGCACTGTGTAGCATGCTGAAGGAACTTCAGACTTAGATTGGTGAGATGGCTCAGTGGTTTAAGAGCATTGGCTGGCTGCTCTTTCAGAGGTCTTGAGTTCAGTTCCCAGCACCCACATGATGGCTCGGGATCTGATGCCCTCCTCTGGCATGAAGGTATACTTGCAGCAGAGCACTCATGCATTAAATAAATTTAAAAAAGAAAAAAAGAAAGAAAGAAAGAAAGAAAGAAAGAAAGAAAGAAAGAAAGAAAGAAAGGAAAGAAGGAAGAAAGAAAGACTTGGAAGTGTTTTGAAGTACAGAGCATTTGGGGAGCTTTTCCTGAACTCCTAGCCCTGGCCTCTGTCCCCTTGTTTGGGGATTGGAAAGAGCTGAGTTCTCTGAGCATGTGGCTGTGACTGCAGCCCCGAGATGGATGGGAGGGAAGTGATGGCTGCCCAGCAGAGATCTTTCTGGAACTTCCTCAAAGGCTCCTGAGAGCACAAGGAACTGGGCAGTCCTCTGATGTGTTACAACCAGAGAAGCAGCTCCCCCTTTTTTTTTTTTTTTAATTTGGTTTTTCGAGACAGGGTTTCTCTGTATAGCCCTGGCTGTCCTGGAACTCACTCTGTAGACCAGGCTGGCCTCGAACTCAGAAATCCGCCTGTCTGCCTCCCAAGGGCTGGGATTAAAGGCGTGCGCCACCACTGCCCCGCGCTGCTCCCTTTTGATACAGTGTATCATCTAAATCCTGGATTCCTCCTTCTCTCCAGAGGGGATTTTGCCAAAGATCGTTCTATAAACGAAGGTTTATATGCGGAAGGTTTTAATCAGACAATAAGTTGCCAAAGTCGTTTCAGGAAGTCATTATTCATTACATAGAAGATATCTTTAAAAGGGTAGGGGCCCGAAATGTGTTCTGTGTCCTAGGAATGTCACGTGGGGATTTTTTGATTACTTAACACACCCCAGAGCTTTGAAGTGGTTTGGTTTGGAAAGATAGAGTGGTCACTGTCTCAAAAAGTAAAGGTCATCCCCAGAAAAGCAGTGATTTAGTTCAGCATAAACGGATTTCCTGGGTGAATGTTTCTGGTCTTCTTGTTGGAAGGAATTCAGCCAAGATACAATGTAAACAGAAGCTTGTTCAACAAGGTAGTCACTCTGGAGAGGTTAGAGCAAGCTGTGTTAGGCCTTGGGCTGTGCTGTTGACTTAATTCTTTTATCTTGTGCTCCTCTGTGAGAGTGTGTGTGTGCGCTGGTGCACACACGTGCGAGTGTGTTGAGCATGTGCATATCAGGAAACTACTTTATGGATTCAGTTTAACCCTGTAGCCTTTTTACTTGGATACCATACTAGTTAGGTTTTTCTACTAAATTATGGCTGATAGGATCTCCATTTTAGAATATTATTGTTTGTTTTTACTTTGTTTGTTTTGTTCCAAGACACAGTATCACTATGTAGATATGACTGTCCTGGAATTCACTATCCAGACCACATTAGCCGAGAACTCATAGAGCTCCCTCTGCCTCTGCTCCCAGTGCTGGGATCAAAAGCTTGTGCTACTATGCCCAACAGTGTTGTTTGTTTTTTGAGGAAGGGTCTTAAGTAGGCTAGGCTGGCCTTGAACTTTAGTTCCCATACTGTCCCCTCCAGAATGTTGGACTTACAGGTATGTACTGCCAAATATGGTTTAGTGCCTCATACACACTGGGCGGTGGCTGGAATGAGAAGAGCCCCCATAGGCTCTCATATTCGATTGCTTAGTCCCTGGCTGTGGAACTGCTTAAGGATTAAGAAGTGTGAGGTTGCTGGAGAAAGAGTGTCACTGGGATTAGACTTGGAAATTCAAAAGCTAATACCAGGCCCAGTGTCTCCCTCTGCCTGCCTGTTTACGGATCAGAATGTAGCTCTCAGCTACGCCTCCAGTATCATGCCTACCTCGTGTGCCACCCTGGGCCCTGCCATGATAATGAAGTAGCTCTCTAAAACTGTAAGCAGGCCACAATTAAATGCCTTCTTTTCTAAGAGCTGCCTCGGTGTCTCTTCCCAGCAGTAGAACAGCGACTCAGACACGAAGTGTGCACACTACCTATGAGCTACACCCCCAGTGAAACTTTTCATACTTTTAAGAGGTCCAGCTTTGCCCTGTTGGTGGAGCACACCTTCAATTTCAATACTCAGGAGGCACAGGCAGGTGGCTCTCTGTGAGTTTGAGGCCAGTCTAGTCTATGTAATGAGTTCCAAGTCAGCCAGGACTACACAGTGAGACTCTTATCTCTAAAACAAGTATAGCTTGGGGCTGGAGAGATGGCTCAGTGGTTAAGAGCATTGGCTGCTTTTCCAGAGGACCCAGGTTCAATTCCCCGCATCCACATGGCAGTTCACACCTGTCTATAACTCCAGTTCCAGGGCTGCTGACACCATTACTCAGACATACATACAGTGGAACACCAGTGGAGATGCATATTAAAAAAATAGATACAAGTCCAGCTCTCTGAATATGAGAGGAAGCAAGTCAGCAGTATACTCACCCACAGATGAGGAGACTATTAGAGTAAATTCCGCTTTCAAACCAACAAACACATGTTCATGTCAGGACACTGGTATGTGTGGCTGTGTGCACATGAGTGGAGATGCCCTAAGAAGCCAGCATCAGATCCACTGAAGCACTGAAGCTAGTTACAGGTGAGTCCTGGAACTGAACTCTGTTCCTCTGGGAGGGCGGTCCATGCTCTTGACTGCTGAGCCACCTCTCCTGCCCCAAAGATGAAGGACTTTTTTTTTTTTCAATACAGATTATAAAATCGGCTCTGAAGGAGGTCAGCTAGTTAGCTTCTCCATGCCAGTGTGTGAGCAGAATCTCTTGTGAGGGAGTAGCTACGTCTGTAAGTGAACGTGGGGTGTGGGTATTTCCCCAGGGTGTTTCCCCAGTTCACAGCTATGACTGAGGAAACATGATACCTGATGGTCAGGGGCTAGCAGACAGCGACACTGGAGCAACCCCTGCCTGTAGTCTCCCACCATCCTGACGGGCCTTCCCTTCATCTTGCAGGTCAACTGCTTTCAGCCCAGCCAAAAGGAGGAAGAATGTCTCTCAGATTTCAGCCTGGAGGAGGAAGACCTGAAGCTGTGTGAACTGCACTAGCAGCTCTGACTGTGTCAGAGGCCCTGCTGTCTGGCTGTGACAGGAAGTTCTGCCTTTCTAATCAGTGGGTTGCTGGCATCTGTGAACACCCAAGCATGAGGCCTAGATCTTGTGGCTATGTAGGAGAGCGCCTTGGGGGGGGGGTCTAAAGGAGGCTTAAGCCCTGTCACTACAGTGGGAAAAGGTTCCCCATACAGAATGGAACTATGTCACATCATAATAAAGGCTGCCTAACGAAGGTGTCTTGTTGTGAATCGTGTGTGGTTTGGGTCCGTGACTCCAGGGAGCTTCAGTAGGGTTTACAGTCTATTAGTGAGGCTGTGTCTTGAAGGTCCAGCCTAATCCACTTTGTCCTGTGAGCCCCAAGGAGAAAGTAGACTTCCCTAAGGAGAAGCAACAGCACCTGACTGTTTTTTATATGTTATTCAGTGGGTGTGTCAGTCAGAGCTGGTTCTCGACTTTGAGCACCCCATTCTCTGAGTATCTTCCCTCCCTCTTAGATGTTTGCCCCATCTAAGGAGTTCATGACAGTTTGCTTTTAATCCAGGATTCCAGTTCCTCTGGGGAGCTACACCCTGAATTGGGTCAATTGTTGGCTGCACCCCAGAAGATGCCCTACTCAGTGACTCAGGTGGTGGTTCTGGTGCTAGAGGGCCATCAGATATGTTTCTGCCCTCCCATTCTCCACTCTGAGGAGCCAGCCATGTAAAACACTTGCTTGCCTTCTAGTTAGCTAATCAGAGAGTTCAGTGAAGCAAAGGTTATTGTTTCAGCTGGAACCTGAAGAAGGCTCCAGCTTAGCAATGATAACTGCTAAAGTTGAACTCCAAGCCAACAGTGCTGCTTATGGCCTAGAGTTGGCTCAGTGGTTAAAAGCACTTGTTCTTGCAAAGGTCCTGGGTTTGATTCCCAGCACCCACATGGAGGCTCACCATTTTTGTAAGTACCATGCATGCATGTGGCAAACAGAAATACATGCAGGCAAAACACTCATACACATAAAATAAATCTTAAAACCCAAACAACAAAAATCTGTGCTGCTTTTTAGAAATGTTTTTCAATGTGTATGTGTCCATGGAAACAGAAGATGGTATCAGGTCCCCTGAGCTGGAGATATATATATGTATATGTATACATATATGTATGTATATGTGTATATATATATATGCAGTTGTGAGCCAGCTGACCTGAGGGCTGGGAACCCAACTCTGGTAATCTGATATGGCAGCAAGTGCTTTTAACTGCTGAGCCTTCTTTCCAGATCCCCCTAAACCTCTTTCTCGGAAACACACAGGTTTTAGGAACCGGTTCTCTTGTAGCCTTCTTCCCAAGTGCTTGAAGGCGAGCACCACTGCTGCCCAGTTAGGTCTTGTCTCCAGTTTTAACAAAACTGTTGTTTATGCAAGGTCATAGGTCACAAGGACAGTTGCTGTTTCTGATTCTGTAAACAAGGTTGTTTTGCTCAAGATGACCTTGCACCAGAGTCAGAATGTAACTTTGTGTTCCTTGCCTTTATAAACCCCTGCTGGCTGTGGATGGGGCCACGTTTAGGAGACCTGGCACCAATATGTAAATAAAAAACATTTTGTTAAATTTTATTCACAGACTGGTGAATCTGAACTATCCCAGACCATAACAGCCTAAGCCAGTCTCAAATTCTTTCTTCCTGTTTTTTAGAAATAAAACAAAGACGGTTATTAGGAAAGAGTATAGACTCTGGAGACCGAGGAAAGAAGGTACTAAAGAGCCTGTCCTCAAGCTCATCAGATCTAGGATGGCCTTGAAGGAGTCCTGCCTCCTCCTGCAGGTTTGCACCACCACTCTGATTGGGTCTCACCCAGGGGCCCCTGGTCCCCAGGAGACCCCGCCCCCATTGCCTGCTGACACACTCTCCTCTAGAAATGGCCGATATAAAAACTACAGCTTTCATCTTAAAGTGACTAAAAGACAGTTTGTTCTTGAGCTGTTTTGAGTGACTGTGGCCCAGGAACAGATTTAAGTTACCCCAAATTCCACGTTCCAGTGTGGAAGCAGTTTCATAAGGTTTTTATAGTTTTATAGAACAAAGAAAGTCATAAATCAAGGCAATTTTTTCATGGGTTTTTAGAGATAGATTTTCTTTGGGTAGCCCTGGCTGTCTTGGATTAGCTCTATAGACCAGTCTGGCCTTACACTCAGGAGAGCTCCTCTTGTCTGTCCTTCCCGAGTGCTGGGATTAACAGCATGTGCCACCATTGCCCTACCTAAATCATGGTAACTTTAAAATACTTTGATGGGTATGCCAGAGAGGCAGCTATTGAGATAGGAGGATCTATTTTATGGGCCAAGATGCTATCTATTGACAATCTTAGCTCTTGGGCTGATGGAAGTTTGTGTTCTACTAAGTAGCTTCTAAGAGGTTTTTATTTATTCTCATGCTCAAAGTGTTAGTTCAGAAACAGAGTGAGGCATGAGACGGCTGCCTCCAGAAGGCTAAAACTAGCCCAGGATAAAGTAATTAGCCTCTGAACCTACAAAATGCCAGTCTCTGCACAGCACTGAAAATACTCGTACTGTTTACAGACTCTGTAGACAAGCTCCATCCTGGGCTTACGTTCCCAGCCAGACATATCTTCTGTTTGGGAATTTTCATTCACAGGATCCTGTCTTGGATTTTTCACAAAATAGGTAAATGCTCTATAACTTGTTTAAAAGCTTAAAATTAGCCAGGCAGTGGTGGCGCAGGCCTTTAATCCCAGCACTCGGGAGGCAGAGACAGGCGGATTTCTGAGTTCGAGGCCAGCCTGGTCTACAGAGTGAGTTCCAGGACAGCCAGGGCTACACAGAGAAACCCTGACTTGGAAAAAGCCTAAAAACAAAACAAACAAACAAAAAAGTTTAAAAGCTGAAAATTAAGGCTGGAGAGATGGCTCTGTGGTTGAGAGCACTGGTTGCTCTTCCAGAGGACCTGGGTTCAATTCCCAGCACCCGCATGGCAGCTCACAACTGTCTGTAACTCCAGTTCCAGGGGATCTGACACCTTACAGACACACACATACATATAGGCAAAACATGAATGCATCTAAAAATATTTTTAAATTAAAAAGAAAAGTTTAAAGTTACTGTGCTTAAAAAGAAACATAAAGCAAAAGTGAACTTCCAAATGTTAAAGACTGTTACGGGTTGTTTTTGTGTGTGGTGAGGCACACCTTTAGTCCCAGCACGCAAAAGACAGAGGCAGGTGGATTTCTGAGTTTGAGGCTTGCCTGGTCTACAGAGCTAGTTCCAGGACACCCAGGGCTACACAAAGAAAAGCTGTCTTAACAAAACAAAACAACCACCAGGATACCTGTGAAACATCTGTTTGCAAAACAGAATGTATGTAACTTTATGTTGTCTTTATAAACCCACGTGGCTCTGTGATATATTTTGGAATCTGGAGTCCCTGGTGTAGCCCTGCTGCCAGTATCTGAATAAAAGTCTCTTCTTTGTTAAAATATATTCGTGGTCAGATTGGTGAATCTCTAAACTACCCAGAGCCAAAAAAGACTGAGCTGAATATTTCAGTCCCCTCTCTTTCTCCCTCTCCCTCTCCTTCCCCCACCCCCCTAGTCTTGTAAACTTGAACTCTTCAGCTAATATGTCCTGAAAACCTACTGTGCTGCCCAGACTGGCCCTAAAATTCACAATTTTTCTGCATCTATCTCCCAAGTGCTGGGATTGCACACGTAGCCTTTACAAAAGGGTTCCCTTGCAGATTAAAACTTGCATCTTGCCGGAAGGTCTGTAAGCAGGAAGCTCCTGTAAGCAGGAAGGTAAACAACTCAAAATAGCTTCAGGAAGTTCCTGAAACTGATCAGATTCTCTAGGCTCCTCCCCAAAGAGTAAACAAACTCAGGAAGAGAAACCTGAGCTACAAAAAAAAAAAACCTTCTTAGAAGAAAAAAACAGCAAAGACTCTCAGAGCACAGAAGAGCTACTTAGAGGAGATTTAGTCTAACTGAGGCGCCTGAAAAGAACACTCTTCCAACCTGTTGAGCTGCCTGCAGGCTGTGCAGTGAGCTCCAGGTTCCCAGCTTTGTGAGCTGTCACCTATGCTGAGGTGGTCCTTGGTAATGAAGCTGTCTTTGAGTCATTTCTCCTGTAAGTAACCCCAGTAAAACTTGTGGTTTACCCGGTTGGTCTTTGGTGATATCTGTACTTTGGTCTGTTGTGGATTCCCTACCTGGCGTGAGAAGACCTGTGTGTTGCCTTTCCCCAGGAAAGGTTTCTCTGACAACCACCATGCTCAGCTTTCCCTAATAGGGTGGTTCTCAACCCGTGTGTGGTAACATCTTGCAGGTAGATTGACCCCTTCACCAGGGGTCACCTAGACCATCCTGCTTATCGGGATATCAGAATTGCTTATATTATGATTCATAGCAGTAGCAAAATTACAATTGTAAAGTAGCAACAAAAATAATTTTATGCTTGGGGGGGGTCAATGAAACATGAACTGTGTTAAAGGGTCACAGCATTAGGAAGGTTGAAAACCACTGCCCTAATATGTATTTAAGCCTTCCTGTATGTTTGGACTTATTTTAACATACATTCTGTCTCATACTTCCCCTCCCTCCTCTCATCTCTGTCCCCACTCCTGTTCTACTGTTGTGTCTTACATATGTGTGAATTTGTATGTCCATATGAAGTGTAGAAAGCACGGGTAAAAGAATATTAATATGAGTGGCTTCAGTTAACATTATCTGAATCAGTTATGTTGCAAACAGCTATGTTACTACGATTGAAAACAGTTGCATTGTAAATACAAATCGTCGTCTTCATCCATTCCTGGTTTTGGACACTGAGGATAGATCCCATAACTTAGCTGTTGTGCATGGGCTGTAAGAAACGCTAATGTGTCTCTGGGATGTGTTGACCTGGAGTCCTCTGTGGAAGCCCTATGGTTAGTTTGAATAAACCTCAATACTGATTCCAAAGTGGCTGGACTAGTTTGTATTTCCAGCAACACTATATAAGAACCGCCTTTTAGATGTCTTCTTGCCAGCATGTGCTGGTTTGTTTGTTTTTCATTTCATTTGTTGTTGAGTCTGTGTTTACCTGGATAGCCCAGAACTTGCTATGTAGATCAGCTGGCCTACAGCTCAGAGATCTAAAGTGCTTAAGAGTACAGATGAGCCAGTTTGTCCAACTTTTCTTCAAAAAAATTTTTCCTTATTATAACTGTGTATGTATGTGCATGGAGTGTGAAGATGAACACTC